CCAGCCCCTGTGCTCCTCCGAGTCCCAGTCCCTGTGCTCCTCAGAGTCCCAGCATTAGGCCAGCCCCTGTGCTCCTCCGAGTCCCAGCCCCTGTGCTCCTCAGAGTCCCAGTCCCTGTGCTCCTCAGAGTCCCAGCCCCTGTGCTCCTCAGAGTCCCAGTCCCTGTGCTCCTCAGAGTCCCAGCATTAGGCCAGTCCCTGTGCTCGTCAGAATAACAGTATTCTCCAAAGTTGTGTGCTTTTTAAACAGGTTTCAACACTGAATCTTAGTCCCCACAGCGACACAGCAGCAGTATACAGCTGACTGTACATGTATTTCTTCCTGAATCAGCGCCGCAATTATCATCTTGTAATAATTTTTCATTGCACCATGCTTTCGCACAGTATTTATCCTCGTCGGTTTTTCCGCCTCTAAATACGAAGCATAACAAATGGTAGCAATGGTTAGTTATTGCGTCAAATACATATAGTCCAACTCGCAGCTTTAGCGGAGGGAGCCAACTGAGAGAGGCATGGATTAGTTTTTAATTTCCAGACATTGCTTGCTCTAATGTTCCCCTTTAGCTACAGCACACACACAAACACACAAACACACACACACACACACAGACTGCTCCCCTAGCGCAGTCTGCACACACATCCTTCGCCTAAATGCAATGCAGAAAAGCTTAGCTGTGACTTATAGGCCATTATTCGGGCGATAGACGAGAAGCCGCGGACTACGGAGGTGGGAGATAGCACTCCTCGGGCACTTAGCTCCTTCTAGCTGGACCCACTGCTTATCACATAGGTACAAAGCAAGCGAGACCACATATAGCGAATGGTGGGAGTGGGCCATCCATCCCATATTGGTGTCAAAGTTATCACCAAAGGCCAGGAGGAATGGAGCGCAAGATGACGAAGACAAATGGGGAAAGTATGAAGGGTAATACATGCTTCCTGCCTATAGCTCCCTGTGCTGCCACCAGAGGGAGGGGTTGGAATTATATGTGTTTTTCAAAATTTGAAAAGTATCAGCTGCAAATACACTTAGAAAATGATCAAATATGACGTAATAATTCATTGAATTAAGTGGGTTTTATCTTAAATTGGTGTGTATTCTGAGACAAAACCATTTAATCTTATTTCAAGAACTGTTGCTTTTTCTTATTCCAAGGGAGACATTTCTTTATCTTTTTACAACCAAAGGATTTTGGTTAGAATGCGCTCAATTTAGGATAGATTTTTGCCAAACTTTAGCTCTCTTTGTAGGGCACAGCCTTGAGATTGTCTAGAAAATCTGTGGTATGACCAAAACTAATCAATTCAATTCAATGTAATTTTGAATAGCCCTAAATCACAAAAGTAGTTATCTCGGAGGACTTTACAAAACTCGCCAACACAGATCAAAGAATAAAACAATGATTAAAAATGTGTGTCCTGGATCCTCACTGTCCTCAGATCCTCCTGCATCGGCAAGAACTCTAAAAACCCAGTGGGAGAAAACTGAGAAACCTCTGGGAGAAACCCACATTGAGGGAGCAATCTGCTTCCAAGAACGGACAGAAAATAGATCCAGGACTCAGGCTGTAGAAGGAGGACCAAGACCAAAATCCAGGATGAAACTAGTTTATGGGCAATACTTTTGTTTGTGTAGTGTGATGTCATAGTGGTACAATGACTACAATGACGTCATACTGTTGTAGAACTGAGACAGGAGCTTTTAGACAGACGGGGCAAAGCAACAGAGATGGGGAACTTCATAATGATAATAATACATCAAACTTCTAAAGCGCTTTTTTGGACACTCAAAGACGCTTTACACATAATACATTACACATAATAATGAACCCTGAAGAACAAAATTAAGGAAAGGCAAGCTGAGACAAGTGGGTTTTGAGAGGTGATTTAAAGTTCTGTAGTGAATCTGAGTTTCTGATGGGTTGTGGAAGTGAGTTCCAGAGAGTGGCGACGGCTGCAGCAGAGGCTCGGTCTTCCAAGGTTCGGTGTTTAGTCCTGAGGGGAGTGAGGAGGTCGGAGTCTGTGGATCTGAGGCGACGGGACGGACAGTGAGGTCTGTGAGGTAAGAGGGGGTCAGGTTATGGAGGGACTTGAAGGAGGACCTTGTATTGTAGGCGGTAAGGAACAGGGAGCCAGTGGAGTTGTTTGAGGACAGGGGTAATGTGGTCCTTGGAGCGGGTGTGGGTGAGCAGGCGGGCAGCAGAGTTTTTGGACATGTACGGAAGGGAGACCAAATAGGTATCTGCTGCAGTAGTCGAGTCTGGAGGTGATGAAGGCGTGAACCAGTATTTCAGCTGTGGATTGAGAGAGACGGAGGGGAGGAGATGGAAAATTGGCCCGAGAAGTAAAAATGACATTTTGGAGATGAGGTTAATGGTGGGGTTTAAATGAGAGCGTGGAGTCCATAATAATGCCGTCAATGTTGAGGGAGATGTTTTGAGCAAAACTTGGCTCCTCCTAGCCGGACCCACTGCTTATCACATAAGTATAAAGCCAGCGAGACCACATATAGCAAATGGAGGGAGTGGGCCATCCATCCCATATAGGTGTCATAGTTATCACCAAAAGGCCAGGAGGAATGGAGCGCAAGATGACGAAGACGAATCGTACGTATGGGAAAGAGGAATGGTGGGAGAGAGAGAGAGAGAGAGCAAGTTTTGAGGGAAAGAGAAAGATGTGAGAAGCTGTCAAGCGGTGTGCACAGCAGCGTGGAGGGAACGGTCAGTGTGTCGGAGATCCAGACAGGAGAAAGACGGGGGAAAGTTGTTAATTTGCAGTCCACGCAGGTCGGAGGCTGTCTGATGTAACGGGTGAGAGAGCCGCTGACCTGAGCAAAGAACCAGGCAGGTTGGACTAATGAGCCGGCCGTGGAACAAGGCGTCAGGGTGTAGGAAAGCAGCTAATAGAGCAGCGGTGATTCAATATTGAGGACGTGAGAAGGTGGAAAGGTTTTTAATACACTGAAAAAAAAAACAGAAAATAAGAGGTAATAAATGCTTGAATCGAGTAGGTTTGATCTTCATTTGGGTACACATTCTGATCGTCCTAAAACAAGATTTGCCAATGGGAAAAAGCCATTCAGTTTTATTGTTGTTTCATTTTCTCATTCCAACATTCCAAGGGAGGCATTTCTTGTATATAATTTTTTGTCCCTTTGGCAAATCTTGTTTTTTATGCAATCAAAAAAAAATCCAGATTTGAGCAATTTTTGACTAAGTTTTCATCATATTTTGCAGTGTAAAGGTGATATTTTAAAGGACATGTCATAGTTTTGTTGATGTTTTTAACCAAATTTGTCATTGAAAGTGTGATTTACTGAGGTGTACAACCAGAAAACAGTCAGTCACTAAAATGTTTGGATAATAACACTTGTCCAAACTGAGCCCAAGAATGCAAGAGAAGCTGGACCGGTGGTGTCAAAATGGTCCCCAAAGAACCGATGTGGCTTCAGGTTTTAATGATCCACCCAAGCAGGAGCACACTGGACTCCACCCATTTCCTCAAGTGAGTCCAGAGAGAGTTTCACATTCTAAAACATGTCAAATGACAACGTAAATAGTCTCATTATCATTTGTAACGATCAAAAAGAATGCATCATATTTCTTCTGTAAAGGAGCAGTATGTAAATATCTGGCCAAAAGTGGTACTGCAACCTCTCCCTGACTCGGGTTGCCAGATATGCAGACAAATCCAGCTGGGACCATCATATCTGAACAGACAAGAGTTTTGTAAACAACAAATCTATAACCAACACCTTTTTCACAAAGACCCCGATAGAAATCCTTATTTTATTCCTTGTTTTGTTGTTAATGATTTGAGAATCATAACAAGACCTTTTTCAGTTCTGTGGCCACATGTACTTTAGCTCGATTAGCTCAATACAATACAATGCACAATACATAACAATTTATTCTTGTATAGCCCTAGGTCACAACAGAAGTCATCTCAGAGGACTTAACAAAACCATTGAAATCACCAACACAGGTCAGAGAATCAACAGTTAAAACACATGAAGAATATAAAGCACACACAGAAGAAAATGTCCATACATGTTGTAGAATGCTAAAGTGTCCTGATCATCACCAATCCTTTCTGTTGGACACTAACTGTCCAACAAGACCCTCCTGCATCAACAAGGAAAAACTCTTAAAAAACCCAGTGGGAAAAAGTGAGAAACCTTGGGGAGAACTAGGGAAACCCACAGGGAGGGAGACCCATTTGAGAAAGGGATCCGCTCCTCCGGACGGACAGGCTAATGATCCAGGATCTAAGCTAGCTGCAGAACGTGGACCAGTGGCCGCTCAATGCGGTGAGTTCTGGTGCCCGGATCACGGACTTTCTGATTGGTAAAACGGTGGTAGGCGGGACATCAAAATTAAAACAAAAACAAGATTTAGGGGCTGAAAAACTCATTTTGAAATCCAAATATCTGTGAATACTCTGATTAGTTAAAGAAGTATCAGAAAAGAGCATGTTTTATTAATGCCTTTTAGGAAACAGGGTTGCATTGCACATGTCCAAAATTATATAATATTCATGACGTTTCAGCTTTTTACCTTTATCAGATCATGTTTTTTCATATTTTTGTGTGCGATGTTACCCCGTTTCCTGATATTTTGATTCTAGCACCTGCACCTGCTCATTATTAATGCCTTTGGACAGATTAGGGGCATTTAATGATGACTTGACATGACAAACTTACATATTGATACTTTAAGTCCCGTTATATTACACTATTTAAATGCGACAGCGGATTAAAAAAAACATCTTTAAGTTTGTTGAGAAGTTATGAGTTTATTCAACACTAATTTGTATTCTGAATCCCAAAGAACAATAAAGTAAGTTTTCTGAATAAGTAGTTAGCTGCAGATCCTGGTGCATACTGATCGAACACAGCTGTTTGGCATTCGCCTCTTGTCAAGAGAAAAGAGCAGAAACTGTGCCTTCGATTACTCGTGATTTTTTGATTATTATTGTCAGGAATGTGACTCCGTGTTTTGAATGGACTTTCTGTGGTCACTTCAGTTCGAGGTGAGTTCCAGGGACCACATCAGTCCAGTTCTCAAGGTCTGCTTTCTGTGGCTCAGAGAATAGACTTTAAATTAGCTCTGGACTGGATTAGTCAAGACTGGCCTCCTGCTGGGACTCTTAGGAGCACAGGGACTGGCCTCCTGCTGGGACTCTGGAGCACAGGGACTGGCCTCCTGCTGGGACTCTGAGGAGCACAGGGACTGGCCTCCTGCTGGGACTCTGAGGAGCACAGGGACTGGCCTCCTGCAAGAGTCAGGACTAAACATGAGAAGGCAGCATTTCAGATTTATGCCGCTGAAATCTGGTACAGACTTCCTGAAAATGTGAGACAGGCTTCTTCTCTGACAATTTTCAAATCCAGGTTAAAACAGTTTTGTTTACCTGCAATTACAACTGAAGGATTGTATCTTCAAGTCAGTTTAAATGTCTAGTGACCTGCACTTGGACTGAAGAACCAGCTCTGGTATTTCCACTTTTTATCGTACATAATTCTATCCTGCAGACTCTATTTTTAACTTTGCACACTTCATGTCTTTTTGCTCATTCTGAGTGACTCTATCTATGCCAATGTGACAAGTACATTTCTCCATTGTGAGATCAATAAAGTTTATCTTATCTTTATTAGTTCCATAACCATTTGGTGGATCACCTTTAGGGTCACTATAGCCACTTAAAGCTTGTAACTGAAATCGATCTTTGGGGCATCTCTATCACTTGGTTTGAGGCACTTTGACAAATAAAAATGTTATTAGTGTTCCTTCATCTTTAAACAACAAACTCCTAATTTCTTTAAGGAATGATCATCAAAGGGTCAATGTGCCCTGTGCTCATATGATTTTAATGAATGCTTTGTGTGATTGTTTTGTCTTGTTTTGTTCAGCACTTTGAGTTGTGTATGAACTGTGCTATACAAAAAACAACGTGCCTCGCCTCTCTTCTCTCAGACTTCTGTGTGTGTGTCCAGAGCGACGTGGTGTCAGTTCGTACGTTGTGTTATTTGTCGATCGAACGCTGCTTCTTCACCTTTTGTCTGAAGGTGGTGACCACAGGGACAGGAGCAGACACAGGGTCCACACAGGCCACGTCCCCCAGGAGCACAGGGACCAGGCTTAATGGAAGAAGAAGAGCTTTGGGGACCAGGGCTCAGGGCTCCGTTGTCCTTCATTTAACACGTGTTTCGAACAGGCCAGAGCAGGCGTCTGGGGAGGGGGAAGTCTGAGGATGATGGCCAGGCAAGGAAAGATTATTTGTGTAGGACAGTTCATACGCAAGCCAACTCAAAGTGCTGAACAAAACAAGATAGAAACATTCACACGAGACATTAAAATCATAAATAATCTCAGTACATTGTCAGAGAAGAAGCCTGTCTCACATTTTCAGGAAGATTTTAGCGACATACTGTAAATCTGATATGCTTCCTGTTTAGTTCTGTTGGACAAAGACGGAGGGACAAGATCAGGACATTGTGAATCCGTGGGGTCTGTGGGATATCTCTGCTGTTGTCACATTATTTGCTTTGAGGGCTGCAACCCCACCCACCTGGAAGCCTCTTCAGTCCTCGTTCTACAGTCTGACTCCTGGAGCTACAGCCTGTTTGTCCTTAGAGGCTGATCCCTCCCTCAAAATGGGGCTTTCTGAGGTTTATCATTTTTTTTTCCCACTGCTTTTTGTTGTTTTGTTGTTTTTTTGCAGGAGGGTCTAAGGACAATGATGATGCGAGACACTTATGGACATTCATTTACATTTCTTGACTGTGATCATCCCGCTCCCTATGAACCAATGGCTTCTATGTGTTTGTTAATATTGCATTTACTTTTTAAGAAACAAGCAGCTTTTTTCTTGGAATGGCTAGAAAAATAGCTCTGAAACAGTTGTTATTATTTAGTAATTGTTTTTTTTCCTGCTTTTTTCTATGTGAGATGTTCATGGTTTCGCACTGGTCCCGACTGGAGCAGAGAGGATTCATGGTCCAAACCAAGCGGATCAGCCAAAAATCTACTGGAGGAATGCTAACTTTTTAAAGAATGCTAATGAAGCATTTAGCATTTTACTTTGGAGCAGAGCAGAGAAAATGGTCTGAACCAAGCGACTACTCCACCTTGTGACCCGTCCCGCTCCACCCAGAGGCTACTCCACCTCTGCTGCTGGGACCTGAAGTGCTGTTGCTTATTATTACTATTGTTAGCTTTTTAGAATGATCAATCCATTTGTGTTGTGTGTGTGGATGGATGTGTTTTTTCTGCTACTGGACACCTGAATTTCTCCTACGAGGATCAATAAAGAATCTAACTATCTAACAATTGTTTCCCGTAAAGGCTCAGGTCCATGGAAAGTCCACTGTTTCCCACATTGTTTTCTGGTTCTTTCGCTGCTCCCTGAACCTCAGAGGAAGCCGCCTGTGTGGTTCAACTTTTAAATTGCAAAAGTTTTAAGCCCCTAGAACTCATATTATTCCAGTTGTTTGTGTTGCACTGCTGCTGTGTCATCCAAACACTTCCTCCCTCTGCATCTTGGGAGGTTTTTTTTTTTTGGGACGAGACCTTTTCCCTTTTTTTTCTCCAAAGCCATTCATCTCCCCCTCGATGCAACGCAGAAGCGCATATTGCAGGTCGCGGCGAAGGGAGAAGGAGATGGCGACCACAGATCATAATGTCTGGGGGATTACCTCGACAGCTCTGCACCCGGAGTCTCGGACACTTACTGCAGGAGCGGATTGAAAAACGCACAACTGGCAACGACAGCAAAGTGTAACCGCATTGATTTTTCTCTCACAGATATCAAAATCCACAGTTTGAAACGCCATTAAATGATATCACTCGAGGAATATTTGGAACACTTTGCGATAAACGCCGCTGCGATTCTCTCACTTTGCATCTTATCTGTAAAAAAGCCACGGTAGTCTTGCCTTTTTCCAGTTTCAGCGGGTATGAAATGGTTGTGTACAAAATATGTTTCACCTGTTTTAAAGTGGAGCAGGCGTCTCAGGCACGAGGCTCCAGATAAGTGAGTGGATTACGGCTGGAAGTGTTTCGAGTGAGAGGGCAATCACGTTCAATTTGAGCGGCAATCTCCAGCACGGATTATTCTCAGACGTTTGAATGAGGGTTTGAATATTTGTGTTAATGGATGAAAAATAGAAACCTTTCTTAAATCTGCTCCCCAATTCTACACTTGGACTATGATTACAGCAAATATTCCATTACCAGTGCGGGTTGTTATTGTGCTTCTTTTTTTAGAGGATTCTTGAGCATAACTGTTAAGGGATTCATGTGTTTGGATGATCATATTAATAAGTGTGTTTAAGTTTAGACTAAAGTACACTTTTGGTTGGCCATTGTAATTTTTTTAAATTCAGTCCAATTCAATTTATTCTTTGATAGCCTTAAAGGAGTAGTATGTACAAATCTGGCCAAAAGTGGTACTGCAGCCTCTCCCGCTCTCCCTGACTCATGTTGCCAGATATGCAGACAAATCAAGCTGGGACTATATTATCTAAATAGACAAGAGTTTTGTCAATGAAAAATGTATAGCCAACACCTTTTTCACAAAGGTTCGATAGAAATCCTAATTTTATTCATTTTGTCGTTTTGTCATTAATTATTTGAGAATCATAACAATCATTACTTTCTCAGTGAGATTAGTTTGACACAGTGAGTCCTGGCAACCCGGATCATGGATGAACCGGTGGAGGGCGAGACATCGAAATTAAAACAATATTTAGGGGCTTTAAAACTAATTTTGAAATTCAAATTTCTCTCAACTACTGTTATCAGTGAAAGAGAATTGGACAAGAGCCTGTTTTATTAATGCCTTTCGACATATTAGAGCCCTTTAATGATGACTTGACTTGAAATGTTACACTTTACTACTTAAAATTACAACAGTAGTTATTTTGGAGGACTTTACACAACCGTTGAATTCGCCGACACAGATCAGAGAATCAAAAAGTTCAACCACAAGAAAAGCAATCGGTATAGGTCCATAAGGGGAAGATGACCAATGTACATAAGTGCTGATGCGAACCCTCTAGCTCCAGAAAAGCCCAATAGAGAAATGTTCATAGATTAAGTTTGAAATACCTTCCACATTAAAGCTAACTCTAGAAATCTAATATCGAGTCCATCCATTTTCCATTAAAAGTCAGTAAAAAACTTTAGAACTGACTTACTTTAAATACATTTTGAGAAAACATTTTTTGGGGCAATTTCCAGCTTGCCATACTAAATTGGTTTGGATGGCAGCAGTCAAAATTGAGACAGTCCTAGAGTTAATGACAATAAAAATCTTCTCTTTCTTTTCCCAGATGTTTTTCTTCCTGATTTTCCGTGGCTCCGGTGTTGTGCTGCTCAAGGCTCAGGGGCATCTCTCTCTGTGGTTCGGAGTTTAAGCCTAAACACAAACATGAGGAGGTTAATTACTGTGTGTTTTTACTGCGTTCTGAAAACAGCTGAAGCTCTGGAGAGGTTTACCAAAGTCAAGTATCTGTCACCGAACTGTTCAGGCAGACCGCGCTTAATTAAAAAAAGGATAATTGAACGCTTAGTAAATGTGCTACCGGAGGTCGCACTCAAATATATACAAACACAGAGACAGGTGTGGAATAGGAAATGGCGGCGTGAACTATAGAGCCAGCGAAAAGACTAATCCTACTCACAATTAAAATGATCAAATGCTCTCGCTGCGGCTGATAATGTTGTCCTGCACATTTCATACAAGGTGTAGGATTAAACAGAATCTTTATCTATCCCACAGAGGGGAAATGCCAGTGTTGCAGGAGATGCCAGTGTATACAGGAGATACATAGCTGGGAATATTCAAGAATTAGTCAAATGCTTTCTTTCACTTAATGATAAAAAATGATGCATTGGTTTTATACAGCGCTTTTTTGGACACTCAAAGACGTATCATTATCCTTAGACTCCATATATAAACTAATAGTGTGGCCACAGCTGCCCTGGGGCACACTGACATAAGCCAATATAAACCATGGACCTGTGTACGCACTTTAAAAAGCAGATGTGGCAATTTACCCAGTAGGCTGTAGTTAACAAGTTTAAGCTTTGGGACCTTTACCGACATTTATGGACATTGGTCTTCTGCCCCTTATGGTCTTTTTTATCGTTGTATTTCCTGTTTGATTCTGTGATCTGTGCTCGGGCGAATACACAGCTTGTAAAATCATGCGAGAAAACTTCCGTCGTGACTTAAGGCTGTACAAAAATGAATTGATTTGAATTTAAATGAGGGTTATATTTTACACTATAATACCATAATAACACTCATGCCGCGGACACATGCGTGTGTAAGATGGGGGAAGAGCAGGTAGGCCCTCTGGGAATTCAAGTTTTGAAAGAATACACGTGTGACCGCGGGGCACTTGTTGTTTCCTGTAAGAACTCTGCATGATGAGCTGCGGCCACAGCGCTCTGGACAGCAGCACCACTTCCAGCGGCTGTGATCACGGCGAACGGCGCTGCGTAATGGGATCATATCCAAGACCACGCACAGAACTATTACAGAACTATTCTCTAGTTCTGTAATAGTTCGTACGTGTCTTTGTGTAACCGATGCACACAATATGTACAGCGCTGAAGCTGGACTGCGGAGCCTCAGTCTCCTCCGTGTCTTCTCCCGAAGCGCACTCGCTAAATTAAAGCTGAGCTACCTAATTTTCCTTTCGACCATCAGTTCATGTTAGTTGTGCCAAAAAAAGTAATGTTGTGAGCAAATCAAACAGATTTAATGACATTCTGCATTTCAGACTTTTTTGAAATGTCCCTCATCTGTAACAAACAATGGTTTTGGTCTGAGTCTAAACAGAAAGACAGAATGGTAATAATGTTGATTCCATTTTATATGGATTTATTGTTATAACAAACAAACACATAGGGCTGGGCGATTAATCGATTTTAATCATTAATTCGAGTTTTACATTTAGGGCGATTTCTTTTTTTAAAAATTTGATTTTTATTTTCTCCAGCGCAGAACTACAGCGCTAACGCGCTAACCGCGGGTCTATGGTGTTGAGCAGTCATTTTGAAGCTAACCTAATGCTAACAGTCTCCCTCTGGCCTGATGCTCGCTCTCACAGTTGGTGCTGTTGCAATAACACTTCAAACGTTCAAGAATCAGACTTTATTTAAATCGCCAGAACACACACACACACGCACGCAGGCTCCGGTCGCTATGTTCGTACGCCATGTTCGTACGCCACATCTTTCACGCTCTCTCACGCTCGTTATTCCAAAGCGCCCGTGTCCGTGGCGCGCACACACTCGTGTCCCACTGAGCCGCTGCACTTTGGGGAAAGACACGTCTCACACATTGCTCTCATTGCTCTGATACAAACAACGTGTTCCCCGCTGTCTGTTAGCTACAGTAGCTGCTACAGTAGCTGTTAGCTACAGTAGCTGCTACAGTAGCTGTTAGCTACAGTAGCTGCTACAGTAGCTGTTAGCTACAGTAGCTGCTACAGTAGCTGTTAGCTACAGTAGCTGCTACAGTAGCTGTTAGCTACAGTAGCCGTTAGCTACAGCATCAGAATGTAAACAGGAAGCTCGCACAATGCGGGAGTCACTGAAGTTAGTATTAGCGCCACCAGCTGGACCGAGCGTTGTACTACAGCACAGTTACTCAGGCACAGTTGAAAGAACAAGCATGAAAACCCGAGGAGGCTTTTGGAAAAGACTGTCTGTTACAACATTTCTATTTTGAGTAATCAGTTTTAAAAATGTGATATTTCATGTAAATAATGCATGTGTTTAATAGGATTGATATATTTGCGATGGGCCTTGTTTGTGTGATTTAAGTTATTTTGAAGGTGCATAGTGTCATTGTAAGTGAAGTTATTATAAAACTGTTAAGCTACATTTTCACTGTTTACAATGGCAGAGCCAATGGCAGGCTTAATTCCTGTTACACTGATGGTGCGTTCAGACCAAACGCGATTTCTGCGGCCAAATCGCGTCTATCGCGCGGCTTGAGCCGCTTGTGACAAATTGTGGCAGCCGCTGTCACAGAGAAACTTGGCCGCGCGGCCAGGACACTAGAGGGCAGCCGCTGTCACAGAGCGTTGGGAGCGTCTAGGGGCGGGGCTTGTCTCTTTTGCCTGTAGCTTCCCAAAATGGATGTCAGCGAAGGAGTTGCTTTATCTGATAAATAAAGCCAGACACGTCGTCAAAGGGCGAATCGACGACGTGTCTGGATTCATCAGATAGTCCGTAGACGGTTGGAGTTTGGTGAGTTTCACCATTTGCTCCGGGAGCTGCGCTCGGATGAGGGTCGCTTTCAGCGGTACTTTCGTCTCTCCCTGGCCCAGTTTGACGACCTACTGACCCGCATTGGCGCTAGGATCTCCTACCAGGACACCAACTACAGGCGCTCTATTCCAGCTGAAGAGCGCCTGTCCATCTGTCTGCGGTTAGTGTTTTTTTACCCCATTCAGAATTCATAACTACTTACAAAGTGTGTCATTTTTCAATCACAATCCACAATGTAATTGCTCAGAAAACAGTATTATGCAACAATATGGTGTCTATGATTACTGTCTATGATGTTTACTGTCTACTAGTTTAACGTATTTTATGCTACACAAGTTTTGTCACGTGATTTTTATGAATGTAATTGTGATAAATATGTTCATATCATTTTGTAATTGCAGGTTTCTTGCCACTGGGGACTCCTACAGGACCATTGCGGGGAGCTTCAGAGCGGGCATATCCACCGTCTCCATGCTCATCCCAGATGTGGTGGCAGCCATCTGGGACTGCCTCGTGGAGGAGGTCATGGCTGTGCCTGGAGCAGAGGAGTGGAGGTCCGATGGAACTTCCCTCTGTGCTGTGGGGCCATTGATGGGAAGCATGTGGCTGTGAAGGCACCCCCCAACTCTGGGTCCATGTTTTTTAATTATAAGGGGCACCATTCCCTTGTGCTCCTGGCTGTAGTGGATGCCCAGTACAGGTTCAGGGTGATTGATGTGGGAGGGTACGGCAGATCCAGCGATGGAGGCATCGTGTCCAACTCTGCCTTTGGTGAGGCTCTGCGCGAGGGCACACTCGACCTGCCTCCTGACCAGTGCATACCTGGAGCTGACCACAGAGGACCCCAGCCCCATGTGTTCGTGGCAGATGAGGCCTTTTCACTGCGCTGCAATTTAATGCGCCCTGCCCATCTCCAGGATGAGGATGAGGATGGCTGGAGATGGGCAGGTTCCTGCACCGAGGGGAGCTGCTGCCGGTGAAGAACCACTTCCAGGCGTGCAGCGGATGGCCGCCTGGAAGCCAGCAGTGGACATAAGGAAAGTGTTCATGGCCCACTTCAGTGAGGAGGGGCACTGCCGTGGCAGCCCACAGAGTAGTCATGTCCACCACAAGACTGACCCACATCTGGCCATAGTCCAAACCCATATTGATTTGCACTATTCTATTCACCTGTATACCTTCTGTTTCTAGGTAATGACTGCCAGACTCCACTGCGACTCCACTCCAACTTCAGGTTAATCATATGCACATTCAAGCTTTTCCATAATTACAAGGTTGTTAAAACAGTAAAAGGTGAAATGAATAAAAAATACTGTCAACTACTGTATCGCTCTTTAAGTGTTTGTTATTCCATCTTCTATAAAACCCAGTCAGCTCTTATAAAAGTAAATGTACAAATATAGAATAGCCTTTTCTGTCAATATTATATGAAAGGTAGTAATGGTTGGCTTGAAGTAGAACACATGAGGTTTGAAAAATATTTTCTTTATAAAAAAAGTAACAAACAATGAAAAATAAATGAAATGTACATATAAACAAATGAAAAGGAGCTTGCTTGGAGGAGGTGCGGTGGAAGAGGAAAGGGACACATGTCTGTTTCCTCCCCTGCAAAAGGTGTCACCTTAGGTAAAAAAAACTGTACTGGCCAATGGTTCCAAATTAAGCAGAACGGTGCTGCTTTCATATAAAAGTTGGTACATTTTGAATTTCACAAATTCTTTTGACTCTGGTGCCACCCTTTGCAGGAGAGGAAAGAGAGAGCAGGAACTGATGTTCTTCTGAGTAGTCGGGCGGTCCGGCTGCTTTGGTCCGTAGAGTCTCCAGCAGCTCCCGCTCCCACTCTGAAGGCCCACCAAGGAAGAGGGCTCGGAAGAGGCCCACGTCCGTAGAGCCGCCAACAAAGAACACAGGGCAATCACAGTGTTAAAAAGTGGAACATGTATTTCAAAAAAGCAAAATGAAGAGAGCAAATAATATCTGTATTAAAGCCAGAGTGTGTAGACATAGTTAAACACATGTAAAACACTTTTAAGTTGTGTGTTTGTTACAATTAACTTGAACATTGCAGTTATCAATGAAATTACTCACACATGCACAAATTTCGACAGTTACAAACTAATATCTCTGAAGTGTATTTCGCAATGAAATTTGAAATTGGCTGTAAAAAAGTAATACTCTATTGTCTGCATTAAACAGGATAGCTGCCATCTTGTGGCAACCATTGCATGTATTTGTTCAGTACTTTTATAGCATAAGGTATTTCAGTAGTATGTTTTTATTCAAAGAAAGAGGGAAGATGTGTTGTATCAGACCAAAGCTTCTTTCCACCTGTAGTGCCTTGACATCTTGTCGTTTCTCTGTAAATTTGTCGTCTACACTGATGTAACAGCCCTTGGGTAATTTTGGCATATTATGCAGTAACATTTTGTTTATATGAACAGTCCTGTAATAAGAATAAAAATAAAACAATGATTAAAAAAAGCCACACCTGTAGGTGCAGAAGCAGGGGAAGGTCCAGCCCTCACAGAAGAAGAACCGGCTGAGGAAGCAGCAGCAGCAGCAGCAGCAGGCAGCTCAGGCCAAGATGTCTCACCTTGTGTGGTGGTGGCAGTGTCTGTGCCAGAAGAAAACAAGAAATACAATTATTTCATATCATGTGTACATTGCGCTTATGACATTTATATGTACATAATAATGTACATTATTATGTACATTTAAATGATTTGTTCATATAAAAGGGAAAAGTGAAATTTAACACAACACATGATCAAGATCTATCCTGGTTTGAAAATAGCCAATGCCTATTTTCACCTGGCCATGATGTTAAGAAAGCATTAAAAGAAATGCATACACAGAAAGCAATATAAATGTAAAAGTCAGCAAAATGTGGGTAATAGAAAGGAAAGAAATGTATTTTTTCCAACTGTTCGAGGTCTCCGTTTGCTGCATGACACCGACCTTCAGCACCTCATATGTGTCCCTCAGATTCTTCCACCGCTTTTTGCAAACTTCCACTGAATAAACACATCAACTCGTAAGCAGGAAAGTAGTAGTTTTTTTCGCGGGGAAATATTTACAACATTGAAAAGTTAAAATAACTTACCCGAGACACCAACCACCTCGCTAACCCTCCTCCAAGCAAGCTCCTTTTTATTTCGGTCCCGGTAGCTGTGGTCCGCAGTGTTATATAGCTCAGAATGAGCACCGACCTGAGCAATTGACGTGTCCTCCATAGCTGTCATCTACCAGTGTTTTTCCGGTAGTGAAATGCGTCACTACGTCACTGGAGGAGAAAGCTCCTGATTGGTCGGCACACGCGAATTCTCCCAAAAAGTTCAACATTGTTCAACTCTAGCGGCGGCCGCGTTGGAGGCACGAATCGCGCGAAACGCGCGTCAAAACGCTTGACATCTCAAAACACGCCGCGCGAATCGCGCGAAACGCTCGAATTCGCGCCGCTCTGGCCGCGCGAATCGCGCCGCGTGATCTCTCGCCGCTCCTTGGCGCGCGTCCCCCATGTTGTGTCAATGTAGACCCGCCGCTTTGGCCGCAGAAATCGCGTTTGGTCTGAACGCACCATTATGCTCCATGGGGATTTAGATTGAACTGCATAAAGGACAATCTATTTCTTTGTCAGTTGTAGTTTGTTTTTAAATAGAAAAAAATAAATCAATTAAAATCGAAAATCGGATTTGCTGTGAAAAAATCGGAGATTTTTTTTTTTTGCCATATCGCCCAGCCCTACAAATACAGTACATATGTTCACTAAGCTGTCATTTATCCTTCCATTCAAACAACAATTTACAGAAAAATATGGCATAATTTTGCCAATAGTTTGAAATGCGATTAATTACGATTAATTAATTTTTAAGCTGTAATTAACTCGATTAACCCTTTAAGGATCACCTAATTTTGCCTGCTCCTTCTCGAATTATGATACCCAAATGGAAATGCTTATTGTGTGGACATCTTGTGTCTGATTTTGTGTTATGAGGCCTCATTTGAAAGGTAACACCTTCTAGTTTCTGAAAATGCATGTTACAGTTTGTTAGGAAGGACACAGTCTGCACTACAGCTTCTCAAACATGAGTCAAAGTTAGTTTTTTTTGTCTCAAAAAAAAAAAAAGGCCATTTCAAAAGGTTCTTCTGAAGACATACTTTATGGTATGATGTTCAAACTCACCAGAGCAGATGTTTGTGGTGTTGGAAACACCTGTATGAAATTTTAGACCTTTAGGTGGAACTATTTTGATGCTGGGGGCTTTTTTGTAACTAATGGGCACATTCGGCACAAGTGGTCCATTTTTGTGCCAATTGTGCAAAAGTGTTTTACATGCAAATTATCAATGTTTTTACACCAAAAATCCATTTATATAATTTTTTGGCTATTACTCTTGCTATAAATAGCATTTTTTCCAGATATTGAAATGTTTGCAGAAAAGCTATTATTTATATAGTTATAGCGCGTGTTCTCCGTGAAAAAGGCTCCGTCTTCCTCTTTACGCATTCAAATATGACGGGAACAGTGGGAGGAAGCTAGAAGTCCGACACATCGCCTGAAACCTGAGATTATTGGCTACAAGATGATTTGATTGACATCCAAATCGGCCAATGGTAGTCAAGACAATGCTGTCATGACGCACAGATATCTATGTGAATGGAGCGCTAAATCTAGGTGCGCTTGTTTTACTCAACTTACTCCACCTTCCAAACCATAGCACTGAAAAGTCCGGGAATGGGCTTGTTTTGAAGGGAAGACTGAGAGGAAGACGAACATACCCAGTGACGCTAGCTAAACAGTAAAATGTCCTCTTCATACAGTGCGCAAAGAACAGGTTTTGTTTTTGTTTGTGCAACTTTCAATACTCAAATATGTTGTTGCAAGTGGATATCTACTATAAGGATGACTTTGAAGAAAAAACAACTGGATATAATTATTCTCTAGACCCTATCGAACAAAACAAATGCACACGTGTGTGGATTAGACGTGATTTGCCCCAGAATATTAGCATGAAAAGGTAAGAAAGGACGATATATATTTTAAACATATATACAGTTTGACTACTTATTCTTACTTTTGGTTATATTTAATGTTTATTTGAACATAATACGTGTATAGAGGTGGGAATAAGCTTTCAAAAGAGATATAGCTTGACTTTATTGACACAAGTGAATTCTAATACTGATGCTGTTAAATGAAAAATAACTGAATCCTCCCTGTACAGGGAGGGTGATCCTTAAGAGGAAAAATTAATCGTTTGACAGCCCTAATTATAATATTAAATAGCAGCATTAATGGAAATAGGCAACAATGGCATGTTCTCCATTAATAAGAAAACAACCATAATATTTAAATCCATGAGAAATGTTAAGCCAACATGTAATTAGAAGTAAGTATTATTATGTTTTTTACGAGTCTTCAATTATTTTTCTTCTTAAAGATATGAAGAAACATTTCCCAATTTTCTTAGGAAAGAACCACCCTCCGTTCCTTTTGAACAAAACTCTCTGGTCTTATTTGACGAGCACGGATCACCAGAATGATGGACAGTTGGGAGGAGCTATGGAGAGTTGATGATTCTCCCAAAAGTAAAAAATCTTCCTATATACCTTCAATATTTGGTTTTAGTTCAGTCCACTTTTCTAATCAGAAAAGAATCTCCAATCCAACAAATGTGAAACAAGTCATTTATTTAGATACCTTCATATTCAAAGAAATTTAATGAATGACACCCACTTATTCTTTTGGCCCCTGACCAGCCCTTTCTTTTTTTATTCAGCCCTCAAACAAAACAAGTTTGACACCCCTGGTTTACATCGACCTGGATCAGACTCACTTTGAAAGCACATCGCTGGACATAGGTGTGATAAGATCCACGACTTTTACCTCAACAACTAAAAGCATTTAATCCACGACGCTGACATATCCTTCACTAAAGTTTGTTTGGTTTTGTCGGGGATACGATCGCGCTCAAAGAAATCCTTCAAAGTCATCCAAAGCTTTATTCAGCCTCCCCTCTTTATCACCACCTGCTTGATCTCTCCCTCCCCGTAGATAACGCCTCCTTATCTCTCTGTATATGTAAAGCGTTGTACATTTTTTATCACATTCCTCTTTAGAACAGTGACCTCAGATCTAAACGATGACTGAAGCGGGCGCCGTGATCGACCGCGGATCCTCACTCAACCCGTTTC